GTTTCATAACCACCAGAGGGCGCCAGTGCCTGCACCATGATTGGTTTACGTGTGCTCTAACCCTTGGCTGCTGCTTGAATTTGAACATTGCTAAGCTTAAAGGAAAAAAAAAAAACTTAAAAAAGTTTTTTTTCGATAACTTTTAAAGTATATTTATATTCTGTCATACCTAAATAATGCTGGATGTTACAGAAAAATATAGAGTCCATACCATGATTTTGGTTAACATTAATTCATCATAGGATTGTATTTAATATTTCTGAACCAGGAACTGAATAGATAAACCTCACAGTTTTAACAATGAATAGAGAGCGTCAGTGATTCTCTTTTAACACTAACAATTCATTTAGCACCATAGATTTAGCACCAAAACAAATATTGATTGTTCACACGTAGTAAAAACTTTGCAGCAAGGGTATGGTGGTTACAATGTTTCCAGCACCACTAACCAGTGAATTATTCAACTTTCTAAGCTTTTGTTTGACCTCTCATAAGTCAAAGTTAAACCATGACATAATTTGTAGAAAATCAGTTTGCATGTGTTTAAGTCTGTTTTGGTAAGTAAAGCCTAAATTTGAATATCTTGCCCAAAACATAGCATATAACGACAATATAGGGGGAAAAAAAAAAACAGCATATAAAAGAAAAGATAATTTTACACACTGATAGAAATCTAACTTTACACTCTGGTAGGTAAAGGTTTCCATACATATCAGGTTTTGTATTCTATGAGATTGCGGAACTTCGGGAATCATGTTCCCAGGAACAAAACATAGACCGAAGTCTAAGCATTGCTTTCATTCATAGACTCATTCAAGTTATCTGTTGAGGTTGCGCATTGATTTAATAGGATATGAGCATAAAACACTTAAACTGGCTTAAAATTTGTCTTAGATTTATTTATGTCAACTATGTAAGTTGATTTAACACAAATAGGTATGTTCTTGTTGTTGTGTGTATTCGAGTCGAAATCGACCCATAGTGACCTCATGTGAGAGCGTAGAACTGCCCCATAGGGTTTTCTAGGCTGTAATCTTTATGGAAGCAGATCGCCAGGAGAACCGGATCTGCAGATCTTCCGGGGAACCACCGGGTGGGTTCAAGTCGCCTACCATTAGGCTAGCAGGCAAGAGCTTAACCGTTGTGCCCCTAGGGCTCCTTGAGAAAAATGTATGTTTTATTTCAAATACTCTGAGTAAATTGCATTGGTTGAACTCATAATGTCTGGTCCGCTCTGTGATAAAATTGCATGGAACTTTCAAATATACTGTCCTGGTGGCGCAAAGTTTAAGCTTTCCGCTGCTAACCGAAAGGTTGGCGGTTTGAAGCCACCCAGCAGCCCCTCAGGAGAAAGACCAGGTGATCTGCTTCTGTAAAGATTTAAAAAAAAAAAAAAAAAAAAAAGCCAAACTCACTACCATCCAGTCGATTCGGACTCCCAGTGATCTGTAGTACAGAGTAGAACTGCCCTATAGGGTTTCCAAGGCTGTAAATAGTTTACAGAAGCAGACTGCCATATCTTTTTCCCTCAGAGCGGCTGGTGGGTTGGAACTGCCAACCTTTCAGTTGGCAACCGAGTGCTTTAACCGCTGCACCTCAAGATTACAGTCTAGAAAACCCTATGGGGAAGTTTACTCTGTCACATGCGGTCGCTAGGAGTCAGAATCGATCGGATGGTACCCAACAACTAGGGGTAGTATGAAAAAATCTATACCACGGAGAGGATCAGTGCTGTACAAATGTATGCCAACTACTGTTTCTTTTGAAAGAAGCCTTTTCAAATGAAAACTTCACTGCTGATTAGTTAAAGCTGCTATTGGGAAATAGCTTATACCCAGACCCTTCTGCCTCTGGAAATTACAGTGAGAAACAGCTATTCTAGCACCATTGTTGGATGCTGTGAAAAACATCACACACTGTGTTGATATTAGTAAACTTTTGTTTGCTTTAGCCTGGAGAAATTAAACATTTCACATGGCCATTTTGTATTCCTAACTTCAAAAGTACAGATAGAATAACAAATATACCCGTTATATTTTCATCTGACTTGTTAAATTATAAACAAACATATAGTTCTAGTCTTAATCTATGTTTGATAATTTATTTGGATTTTTGATACATTCAATGCTTTCCATTTACGACATTTTTGTCTTAAGAAAGCATGGAAAGGTGGAATTTCTCTAAACCGGTGCAATTATAGACTTTTATGTAGCTAATTCTAAAAATCCGTTCATATAAACATTTATTACCTTACAGCCAACTATGTGGGAAGCTGGGATAAATGCAAAGAAGAATTAGACAGAGTTCCTGCCAAACAGGGGGCTCTTGAAAAATTCAATTTTGTCTGAAAAAAAAGTTGTAAATATTCATGATAATTTCAATATTCATAAATTTCTATTAAGATGATCATTTTACCTTCATAGGAACTTCTTTGAAATGTGTAGTAAATATAATTATTCCTTTCTAGAACTGAAAAAAAAAAAAAAAAAACACACAAGCCAAACGAGCAAACCAGCAACAAAACTGAAACCAAGGAACAAAAAAGATCCATCTTCTGGTTGGTAGTACTTAACTGTTTCTATAGAGCTTGTGTAACAAAGTCGACGATGGAAACCTTTTCTAGATAAATCAAGCAAACATCCCATTAACACGATTCCCCTCCAATTGCCTATATACGTTAGAGAAAAGTTGGACTGGGGCCTGAATTTTATAATTGTTTCAGTTCTCCATCCTATTCTCCAAATATTTACTTGTAATGGGATCTATACGTGTTCCCACAAAGGCAGAGTACTATGATCTCAAGCATTTGGCCACCATATTCAATTTGTGAAAGTCATCAAGTCATCTGTTTATCATTATGTAGACTTAATTTCCCCATGGTTGATTCTTCTCCATCAAATGGATTTAATTAGCTAGCTGTCAACTTTCAATGCATTTTCCCTAAGAAACTGCAAATGTATAGGCAGTTTTAAACAACTAGCTTCCTCCTGTTACTTACACTCTGGAACTAATCATGTTTACTTGTTGTCTACTTCTATGGAAGCATTACATAACCTGAATTAACAAGCATGTGCACACAGACACACACATGCATCTGAAATGTAACCTGTTAGGTGTTTTGACCCAGATGTGCTCTCCCTTCTGAAAGAGATTTCCTCAATAAGGAAATTTTGCATTTCCAAAACTGCGTGAGTGAAGTTTTCACAGTGACTTTCGCTTAGCAGATTTCCAGTCAAAACTAATGGAGAACAGAAAACTTATTTTTCTACTTGGTTTAGAAATATAGACCTATACCAGTATAGGCCGAATCCAACATGGGAAAGATTGTCTCAAAAGCGCTTAAGTATTTGGATTTAGTGGCTCTAGTCAAGGAGCCATGGTAGTGTAGTGGTTAAGAGCTCAGCTGCTAACCAAAAGGCTGGCAGTTCGAATCTACCAGCTGCTCCTTGGAAACCCTATGGGGCAGTTCTACTCTGTCCTATAGGGTTGCTATGAGTTGGAATCAATTTGACAGTAATAGGTTTTTTCAGTCAAGAGCAGTGCACATATGACTCAAAAAAGGAAAAAGCAGAAAAACTGTCTCTCTCAGCCAATTCTGATGAGGAATGCTTCTAAATTTAACTTTAATTTATGAAATCTTGTGGTTAATCAATTTTAGTTTATCCCAGAATAAAAATGTACGTATCCGACAGTGTCCTTTTGATCCCCTTCTTAACTGAACTCACTACTGTCGTTCTAGCCAGAAGTCACAGGGAATCATTGCTCAAATAAAGTCCGTGCGTAAGCTTGAGAGTCAGCTGTTGTTGTCTACAGTAACATCGGTAGAAACCAAGTGTGGTAACTAGTCCTTAGGAAAGCATCTGCGAAGGGCTACTTTAAGATCATAATGTATGTGTGTGCACACAGCATCTTTAAGACGGTACTCAAAGGCCCAAGACGATAAATAGATTGATTCTCACCAAATAAAGACAAGCAAAACAATAAAGCAGGTGCACATCCCTCGGCACCTCACACGTTCTTTTCCGGCATCTTTCACCTTCTCCTAAGAGGCCTCAGGATGCCCTAGACCCTCAGGTAAGCCCCACTGAAGCTCTCAACCTGGTGGTTTTGTGTAATAACCCCATTTCTGTGGCATTTCATACCCCTTCCTCAAATCTTACCTGTCCTGGCCCTCGTCAGATTTTTTTAGTGTCTTGCTTTCTGCTTTCCAAAGTCACAGCTCTCTATTCTGATCCAGTATTAAGTGGGTGGCTGTTAATCTTCCCTTGCCCTTCTAGTTCCAAATACTGTAACTAAAATTTCATATTAGCCAGAAGCTTCCATATTACACAGTATGGTATATCACCTGTCCCACCAACAGGTGTACCCTGCTGTTTTATTTACTGCCTCAAAGCTACATGAAAATCTATTTGCTAAAAAATAATAATTTTACTGCAAATTACTAGGTTGCATTATTTTCTGAGTATTTTTCAGAGCTTTTTGTAGGCAGGAACCATATCTCATTATCTTTGCATTATCTTAACACAGCTATCAGAGTGCTTTGTACTGATTAAAAAAAAAAAAGACGAAGCAAAAGCCACAATTTGAAAACTTACATAAGTTGAGTATATCCCTTGCTGGACCTAAATAAATTATTTCCAGAATGAAATCCTTGGTTGCTTAATTCAATTATTATTTCCAGATATCTCTGAGTGCTATTTTGCACACTATCATATTGTAGGTATTGTAGAAATGGGTGCTAAATATGTCCACCACCTCGTACATATTTTATATATTTTTTAAATTTTCCTCAAATTGACTATTAAATCATATTATTTGTGTGTTACATCATGAATTGTGTGTGTGTGTGTGTGTGTGTGTGTGACACACATTGCAGGTGATTCTTTAGGAGCATAATAACCTAATCCCTTTGTAAAGTAAGTTTGGAATATGATGTCATCACTACAATATTTTAATTTAGGCTTAAAAGTCAGAAAATAGAAACAATACTTTGATTACCTCAAAGAATTAAACAAACATAGTAAATAAACATTAATTTATACAAATGAATACTAAAAGTAAAACAAGATTATCATAAAATATGTATAATATGTGCAAAATTCAATATACATACATGCCTATGATTCCCAGAAACTTATTATATTTCCTGGAGGAAAAGGTAAGTTTATTTAAACCAGTATAAGTAGTTTGACGTTACTCCTGGAAAACAAAGATTGTCAGTACAAGATCCTCCATAACTTGGAGGACAAGCTGAACATGGTACCCCTACTTTGTATGGTGCTTCTCCAATCCAATTGCCCCTGAAAAGAAAACAAAAGAAGATAAGGGCAGTGCTAGTCCCTCATTAAAATAAAACAATTAGATCATGCTTAAACATATGATTATATGTGATTATTTTTTGAGACGTTTGCAGCTTTAGAAAGGCATTAAAAATTGTATCCATTTCTTGCTTTAACAATAACTTATTCTCTACATCTTCCTTCTTCGATTCTTCCCTTCTCTGTAAGTTAATGTTATCTTGACTTTACAGATAATAAGTTAAGGCCCTGCAACACTGATGACGTTATAAGTCATCCGATGCCACACCCACCGCTCATTCTTCTCACCGTATCTGTCCTTTTCTACAGCAGCCTTCTAGAATACACTTAAAGACAAACGGACAAAAGATCCTCCAAACCCGTTCAGGGCAACCCCATGTGTGTCAGAGCAGAGCGTGCTTCAGAGAGATAAGAAAAACTCCGTTCTCATAGTAAGAGAATAATGGCTTACAGAAACTATTACAGGTTATGCCAAAACATTTTTCCATACATTAGCTTTAGCTATTCCTATGATTATTATGATTTTAGTAAATGGTATTAGTTTTTGATAGGCTGAACCCACTTAACTGACTGCATTGTCAATATATTTTTTTATTTGTATTGATGGCTGTGATTATAATAATAAACCCAACCTACCATTCAGAATAGCTACAAATAGTCACAGTAAACTTACCGCTATGTAGCTTTTTTAATTACAAAGGAGAAGGCAACACATGTATTTTCAGCAGCATGATGATTACTAACTAGATACCCAAGAAATAATGACGTAAAAGAAACTGAATGGTGCAGGAAAAATTGGGGCATCAGTGGCGAAAAGGCAGAGTTGAAGATAACACAACAAGTTAAGAAGCTAAAGTACGGAAAAAGTGCCCTTGATCTTCTTTAAGAGCTAAATAAGGCCAAACAATGACTCGCAAAAGTCTATCTACAGGACATGAAAATATCTGGTTAAAGTCAGTTAAAAATTCTGATTTGCATCTGTAAAATGAAAAACATGCTTATTAACTATTCATATCACAAAACAAGATTCCAAGTCTTTATACCTATATTTAATTTACTATACACTCTGCCATGAGTATAAACTCCCTCTAGCATTATTTTGATGATGTCACACCCTTGCCCAGAAACTTTCCAGGTGCCCATCTCCTTAAGAGCATCACTTCCTCTTTTATCCTAACCTTCTCCCATTCTATATTCTTAACCTTACTTCTTTTGGTAACTTTACCCAGAACTTTAGAAATATATACACCCAGCCTAGGCTATCTTAATTTTATAATTTTTCTCTTTGTTACATACTTTTTGAAATTATGCTTACTTTTAGGAAACTAAGCTTAGAAATACACTTTTATTATATGTAAAATTATTACATATGTTTATATTATATACTTTTACATAAATCATAGATTTTTGTTGAATAGAGGATAGTTACATTCAGGAGCAAATCAGTCAATCTATAAAAGTATATTATCCATTCTTTTTGTCTTTTTCCCCCCATCTAATTAAATGCTCTGTCTCCCCTTTTAACTCCCGGAAAAAGAGTTGGACTTGAGATAGCGTCCTATTGACATTTGATTGAAGAATCATATTCAGTTATCTGTCATAATTTTAAAACTTCTGCCATCACCTGGGTTCCAGAAAAATAGTTCTTTATTGTAACTGTAGGAGCCCTGGTGGCACAGTGGTTAAGTGCTCGGCTGTTAACCTAAAGGTCAGCAATTGGAACCCACCAGCCGCTCCACAGGAGAAAGATGTGGCAGTCTGCTTCCGTAAAGATGTATAGCCTTGGAAACCCTATGGGGCAGTTCTGCTCTGTCCTATAGGGTTGTGATGAGTTGGAATCGACCTGATGGCAACGGGTTTATGGTAACCGTAATATAACATGTTAAAGCACTGTCTGCAATCCTTGGACCTATACATCATCAAACATTATTTCTGTATTTTAGTTAAAAATATATAAAAACAAGAACAATTAAGGTCTACTATTGTCAACCTTGCTGTAGTGAATATCATAAATTATCTTGTTCACCTCAAGTAGTATTTTGCCAGAAAATTTAATAACATTTTTTCCGATTCAATCACACTTACCCATGTTGAATACATTGTTTAATGTTGAATACACTTACATATTTTCTTTATTTAAAAAAATTTGAATACATTTAAAATGTATACAGTTGGATGCTAGGTAGCACTTCACCACATTAAAAAAAAGCCATTGCCGTCGAATTGATTCTGACTCATAGCGATCCTATAGGACAGAGTGGAACTGCCCCACAGGGTTTCCAAGGGACACCTGGTGGATTTCAACTGCTGACCTTTTGGTTAGCAACCGTAGCTCTTAACCGCTGCACCACCAGGGCTTCCTTTGCCACATTACAGAGTTAATTTATCGTTTTTTTAAACTTGCTAAATTTTCTTATTTTACATTGAATAGGATACAGTTCTTAAACACGTTTCTAGAGTGTAGAAATAAAGGCAAACATTTCATTCATATATAATATTAAATGCCATATGCTCAGATGAATATAGTAGATGTTTTTTAACATTATCACTGCAATATCAATGCTGAGTGAAGCTAGAGATAAACGCTTTCACAACCTATCTCTGACATATATCTTTTGGCTTTATTCAGCCATGATTCAAATTATGATATTGTCTGACTGAGTCAGAAGTAGAGCTCAAGATCGCTCTTCTTTTTCCTCAAACTGACAAAACAATAATCTTTAAAAATAATAGAAAAAAAACAGATTATGTTGAATAGTCATACAAAAACCTGCATAATTTTCAACTATTAAAACAAAATAGAAAAAAATGAACAGTGTCACACAAGTGTGATTGTAAACTAGTTATATAAGATAGTTTGAATCTTCAATTTTGCTAGAAATCAAATATTACTTTTATTGTGTTCAGTCACATATGTTACTTTAATTAGAGAAATCATTATAAAGATGTACCTAAAAAAAAAAGTATATAAAATCAATCAGATTACTCAAGAATATTAGAAAATTCTAGCCTTTGGACAAAAACAAAATAATTGAATGACTGAAATAAAAATCTCTTTGACCGTTTGGGACTACTTGGCATGTATATGTCGAGGAGTAAGAGCAAAGGCTTAATAGGAAAGACAGGGTGTGCAACAAAAAAATATAGAACAAATGCATAACTTTGATACTTTTTTATAGTGTAAACACACTCTATTTTCCAAACATTCCCATTTTAATAATTATGAATAGGGGACCATCAGGCAAATTGTGTATCATTTCTAACTTTGTAAAATACTGCCACTGGCCTCCTACCATATAAATGAGTCACAAAGTTACTTGTGAAACATTTCTCATTCCCTTCCCATGCTACAATAGATGGAGAACCTCTTCATTTGGGACTTGTTTGGAAGACACCAAAAGTATCATAAATCCTTTGCACACTTTTGGTATTAATTCCAAATGGGAACAGAATCATGTATAAATATTAGAACATTTTATCATCAGAAGAGTTACTGTTATCAGCAAGGCATTTTCAAATGTTGACAAATGTTTATCTCCAGCTTATAAAGAATGTTCACAAATGTGAACGTATTTGATAATTCTTCATAAATTTTCTTAATACATTTTTATACATACCATGCAATGAAATTTCTGTGCAATTTTTATTGTAATGATATTTAAATCATGGCAAAGTTTTAATTAAAAAATCTCATAGCATTTAAATTTTCCCGTCTCATAATGCCACCTTAACCATCTGTGAAATTAGTAAATATGATTCTCAATCTTAGTCTAAAAAAATAAAAGAAGGACTTCATTCTCAGTATATTGCTTTCCTAGTGAAAACGGTAAGCCAGCCCTCTAGTACTGACACGTAAACATATTGTGGTGTTTGCAAATGCCCTACATTTGTTTCTAATGCCTTTTATGTAGCTATCCATGTCAGCATGTGAATTAGAGCGTTTATTTGACGTTTACCATGTCTAAAGAAAGGTGATGTGGGAGGGTTGGTGAATATCCAAAACCAAAAAACCAAACCTGTGACCGTCGAGTCAATTCCAGCTCATAGTGAGTATCAGTTATCTCCAACGTTTTGTCTACAATGCAAAGCTTCCATCTCTGTCCTCGTGAAAAGGAACCTTTCCGCTCAGCACTTTTCCGGAATACAGGAGTGATGATGAACATGAGGACTAGACATCATTGTAGCTAAGATTAACTCATGGCATTTACCTGTCAAAAATACCTATCAGACTGGAGATATTTAACATCATTAGAGGATCCAGAAAGTGGAGAGCAAGCCGGTACTTACTTTGGAGCATAGTTGCATACTAAGTAAACCGCACTTCGCCATACAGATCCCCAAACGTTCATGTTTTGGCAAGTATGAATTGCACATCCAATCCGATTGGAGGTGGCCCAAACCATCTGTAAAATAAACCAATAAGCTGTCATTGAAGTCAGAGAGTCATTCTGACTCATAGTGACCCTATAGGCCAGAGTAGAACTTCCCTACAGGGTTTCCAAGGACAGCCTGGTGGATTCGAACTGCTAATCTTTTGATTAGCAGCCAAGCTCTTAACCACTGTGCCACCAGGATTCCAAGAAAACACACACCTACCAAAATAGCAAAAAGATTTATTTTAAAATATAAATAAAAAATCAATAAAGCAATCGAAATAACCTGTGTGTAGTGTGTGCACATGGGGCCATAGCACCTCATAGGACATCTGGGATTGCAATCTTGGGGATATGGAAAGGCATAATCCTTGACTTCATCATACCATGGCTTGACCAGCTGGAGAATAGAGCGATACCTAGATATTAAGGAAAAAAAAAACTGAGAACGTTGAGTACAGCAGTGATTATATAGAGTGGGCTCCTGTTAATTTATGAATTACTTGCTTTTTTTTGCAGATTAATCATGATGATGTAAGTGCATACCCACTCCTCATCATTACCATCACCACCTTGTACCGTCCTTGTTTCTTCCAAGTAGGAGCAAGCATGGAAATTTCTAGGGCTGGATCCTCTAGGCTGTGATCCTATATTTGTCTAAGTATGCAGCAAGTTGTTTTGAAAACAGAAGTGCAAATATTTCAGGAATCATTTTATGTATCTTTTTTAATCCATGCAAAATTTTTCCTCCCTCAGAACTTTATAAACAGTCAAGAATTAGATATACAAATATAGTAGGAGGAAGCTACTAGAAGAACTGTGTGGTGGGGGTGGTTTTTCCCCCATTAAACCAGAAACACTTTAATGTTAATAATAATAATAATAAGCCTGAAACACTTTAATGTTAATAATAATAATAATAAAGCTGAAACACTTTAGTGTTGATAATAATAATAAACCTGAAACTTTAATGTTAATAATAATAATAA